CCAGATACGACGCTTCATCCAGGTACTGGGGAAGCTGTCCCGCAACCACACTCTCAACAACCTTCGCCACAAAACGAAGGTTGGAGACTGGACGATAATTAGCCAATATTGCCGGGTCCAGGGAAGGCTTCTTGAGGAGGGGCCTCACCACCGCCTCCTTAAGGGCAGCGGGGAAGACACCCTCACCCAATGAAGCATTTATAATCTCCTGGAGCCAGCCTCACGTCACCTCCCGGGAAGCCAGCACTAACCAGGAGGGACACGGGTCCAACAAACATGTGGTCGCGTTCAATCTACCCAGAATCCTGTCCACGTCATCTGGGGTCACAGGATCAAACTCATCCCAGATAACAGTCTCAAGACCTGCCTCCGTCACTCTCGCTGGATCTACCCAGTCAGAGTCCAGACCTTCCCGAATCTGAGTGATTTTGTCATACAGATACTGAACAAAGTCCTCGGCTCTTCCCTCCAAGGGGTCCTCCCGCGCTTCCTGGTGGAGCAGGGAGCGGGTCACCCTAAACAGGGCGGCCGGGCGATTATCTGATGACACAATAAGAGCAGCAAAATGCATACATTTTGCTGCTTTTATCGCCACTAGGTAAGTCCTAATATGGGATCTAACCAGTGTCCGGTCCGATTCAGAAAGACTAGCTCTCCAACTACTCTCTAGGCGTCTTTTCCGGCGCTTCATCTCCCTCAGCTCCTCGGTAAACCAAGGAGCCAGGAGAGATCCGCGCCGGGTCAGAGGCCGCAAAGGCACGACTCGATCCAGGGCCCCAGCGGCCGCCCTATCCCAGGCGGCCACTAGGTCTCCAGTTGAGGCGTGAGCCAGAACCTCAGGAATTGGCCCAAGCTCCGTCTGGAACCTATCGGGTTCCATCAGGCGCCTGGGGCGGTACCATCTTATCGGTTCCGCCTCCCTGCAGCGGGGTGTCGCGGTACGAAGGTCAAGGCGAAGGAGAGAGTGATCCGACCATGACAAGGGCTCGATGACTACATCCCCTATCTCAAGATCACTCAACCACTGTCCAGAGACAAAAAGCAAGTCCAGTGTGTTTCCCCCAGTGTGCGTAGGGCCATGAATTAGTTGGGTCAGATCCATGGCCGTCATGGAAGCCATGAACTCCCGAGCCACCTCAGACGTCTCACCCACGGACGGCAGGTTGAAATCCCCCATGACCATAAGTCTGGGGGTATCAACCGCCACCGCAGCAATAACGTTGAGTAGCTCAGGCAGGGTTGCTGCCACGCGGCAGGGAGCCAGGTACGTGATCAGCAAACCCATCTGAACCCCATGGCCCCATTTCACAAGGAGGGACTCACAACCAGCTGTCTGAGGTACAGTGGTCTCCCTGGGCCTAAGGCCTTCTCTAATAATAACCGCTACTCCCCCGCCCCTCCCTTGTGACCTCGGCTGATGGAATGCGCGGAAGCCTGGTGGGCACATTTCTACCAGAGGGACCCCTCCCTCCGGGCCCAACCAGGTCTCCGTAATACCCGCCAGGTCCGCTCCCCCTTCCTGAACAAGATCACAGATGAGGGGGGCTTTATTTACTACGGACCTGGCGTTGCACAACATCAGACGAAGGCCCGGGCCGTGAGGATCTGTGCAACCTGGCAAACGGGTAGAGCCTTGGGGGCCGGAGCACCCTACCGCTTGGAGACAGCGGGTGCGTGCTCCCTTAACATGATATGGCCCCCTGCTCCCGCCATATCTATATGAAAAAAGTTTGGGGGAGATTCTTATTGGAAGTGTTGATTAAATTAAATTTTAATCCCATTTCTCCCTGGCTCCCTCATTTCCTATCTGGTGTTAATGATTTTATTTTTAATGATGTTATGCGTTGTGTATCTATGATTTCTGATTTTAATGTTTTTTTAATGCTTTAATGTTTTTATGTTGTAAGCCGGGGGTGTCAAACTTACACCCCACGACCCAGATGTGTCACGTGCTGGCACTTTTGACCAGTCCTCGAACTTACGACTGTTCTCACATTTTACGTTTTGCGCCCTATCTTGTCACCGTGGTGAAGACAAGTAGTGGTGAAATGACTGACACAGTTGTTAAGAATGCCGCAACGGGCATAAATGTGAGAAAGGTCATAAGTGCGAGGACCGGTCAAAAATGTGAGGACCAGTCAGAAATGACTTTTTTTCAGCCCTCTGAATAGTCCCTATGTGCATATGGACTAGTCAGAAGGCTGAAAAAGATATTTTTGACCGGTCCTCGCACTTTTGACCAGTCCTTGAACTTACGACTGTCCTTACATTTTACATTTTGCACCCTATCTTGTCACTGTGGTGAAGAGAAGTAGTGGTGAAATGACTGACACGGTTGTTAAGAATGCTGCAACGGGCATAAATGTGAGGATGGTCATAAGTGCGAGGATCAGTCAGAAATGACTTTTTTCAGCCCTCTGAGTAGTCCCTATGCACATAGCCACGCCCACCCGGTCACATGACCAGCTAGCCATGCCCACCTGGTCACATGACCAGCGAGCCACGCCCACCCGGTTACATGACCTCCAAGCAACACCCCCAACTAAGCCATGCCCACAGAACCGGTTGTTAAAAAAATTGAATCCCACCATTGGAGATGACCAAATCAAACCACAGTGGAGCAACCAAGGCTTCATTGCTCTCTTGATTGGTTTAGCTTCAGCTTTTGGCAGTTTTTGCCAAGCAGGAACGCATTATATCAACCTCCATCAGCAGGTTACTTGCTCATATTAAACTAGGTTTCTTAGAAATGCCTGCTACTTCATTATATAACCTGCCACATTTATGCATTCAATAGGAAATATAAACAATGTATACGCTGATGAACATTAACTTTCATTTCCTAATAATTGACTGGAACAAAGACTTAGAATCATAGGGCTTGAAAGGGGCCTTGGAAGTCTTCTGGTCCAACTCCTACCATGTCTGAGGCAGGAGACCTTATGTGAGATGGTATAAGACCTCCTGCCTTGGGGAGGAGGTTGGATTAGAAGACCTCCAAGTTCCCTTTCAGCCTTATGATTTGATTTTTATGTTTATAATAAAAGCTTTTAAAACTTTTATTAAAAAATGTTGAAAAAAAATTGCCAACATTTTTTTTTTAAAAAACAAAGAAATTGAACTTTCTTGGTTTTTCTTTGATGATGTTTCGCTTCTCATCCAAAAAAGCTTTTTCAGCTCTGACAGGATAGTGGGGAATGGAAGAATGTATACTCCTTGCAGACACTTGGTCATTTGCATCCTTTCAGAGGGAAGCTGAAGCACTTAGAGGTTTATCAGTGTTCTCAATGTCACCTGAGTAGTGTTCCTGGTTCCTGTAGTCTACAATTTTTCATCTAGAAATCCATCCCTACTCCCCCAACATTCAAAGCGTGTTCATCCCAAATTGTATAGCTATAGACTTTTAGTCTGTATTCCAAGGGCAGTACAAAGTGTAGAGGAATTTAAATATTATTTGCTTCAACAAATACTGATTTATATCTTAAATATATACCTAAAACCTAAAGTTTTAGGTATATATTTAAGATATAAATCAATAAATCTTAATTACTTAAGATATAAGTAAGTGAAGCAATAATGTAATGAAATATGACATAGAAATTTACTCTTCATTAACTGTCTGTATTACTCTGCAGGTAGCTTCAAATAATTTGGAGTTATTTTAGTCTCTTGGGTGAGAATTTTAAAGACTTGCTTATTGGTATGATGATTATTTCATTAATTTCATTAAGGAAAGAGAGAAAGTTTTATGAGCCGTGGTGGTACAGTGGTTAGAATGCAGTACTGCAGGCTACTTCTGCTGACTGCTGGCTGCCTGCAGTTTGGCAGTGCGATTCTCACTTGCTCAAGGTTGACTAAGCCTTCCATTCTTCTGAGGCTGGAATAATGAAGACCCAGATTTGGGGGGGGGGGAGAAATATGCTGACTCTGTAAATCGCTTAGAGAGGGCTTGAAAGCACTGTGAAGTGGTGTATAAGTCTAAGTGCTATTGCTATTGCTAAGTCTTTCTGACTGCTAACCAAAAACAACCTAAATACTTCAGGTCACTTGCCTGAAACATTGTCAACTGATGGGACCCACAAGGTATGGCTTTTCTATTATGGTCTCTGTCTCTGTAACCATGCCACACAACCACTCTACAAAAACTGTTCTCAGTCTGATTGGCTTCAATTTAAGGAAACAAATAAGATAAAAATAATCCTTGGGAAATAGTTTCCTTCATTTGAAAGAATATCTTTTTATTCTGGAATGTTGCCAACCCAATATGAAAAGGTACTCATTTTTGTACATTTTCTATCTCCTACTTACCCTAGTAATATCTAGTTGAAACCACAATATAAAAAAGATGTTGAGACTCTGGAAATAGTGCAGAGAAGAGCAACAAAGACGATTAGGGGGCTGGAGACTAAATATATGAAGAATGGTTGTAGGAATTGGTTATTCTAGTTTAGAGAAAAGAAGGACTAGGAATGAGATGATAGCAGTGTTTCAAGATTTGAGGGGCTGCCACAAAGAGCACCAGAAGGCAAGAGAAGAAACAAGGGATGGAAACTAATCAAGGAGAAAAGGAACCTAGAACAAAGGAGAAACTTCACAACAGTGAGAATAACTGAATACTGGAATGGCTTACTTTCAGGAGTTGTGAGGGCTCCATCACTGCAGGCTTTTAAGAAGATACTGGAGAACTGTTTATCTGAAATGGTACAGGGTCTCCTGCTGAAGGAGGAGTTGGACTAGAAGACCTCCAAGGTCCTTCCAACTCAGTTATTCTATGTTATTATACTAAATACCTGATCTAGGAGGGGCTTTTGCTTAATCCAGCAACCATTCTAATAAAATAAATTGACAGAGGACTGCAGCCTAAAACAATAATCTAGTTTCTACAAAACTATTTGGAAAATAAGAATTGTTTTAATTGCTTTCCTTTTCCTGGGTGATCTTCTTCTTTATAACTCATCAGCAAATAAGAAAACCAAGAATTTAAATTCTGCTTCTAAATATCAAGGCCACAGATCTTTTAATCATTTGAATTAAATGTCTCAAGGTGTTTACAAATAGTAAACATTGCTTTTATTGTTATGATACATCAGAGTAAAATTTTACAATGATAGACATATTTTGTTCCAGGAGCAGCATAAACTAATATATAAAGAAAATTATCCAGTAGTAGTAACAAACAAAATCATCTATTAAAATAAGTTAAAGGAAGGAAAGAAAGGGATGGGAATTAAGTACAATAATTAAAGAAAATTATAGATTACAAATTTTACATTAAATTGATTCCAGTTAAATCCAGTAGCTTCTGACAGCAGTAGCTATAGCAAAGTCATTCCTTTCCTGAAAAAAATCACTTAGTAAAAGAAGACTTGGAGATTTTCGTTTTAGTTCAGGGGTAGAACAATTCTGCACTTTGGTCTCTTCAACAAGGCAAGGAAGCACCCTTCTGGAGACTTCAAAAATCTTCTTCCAGTGAGTGCCAGGTTGGTGTCCCAGTTCCTCAAAGGTTCTCACTTTTGCAGCCAATCAGACGTTGAGATGATGTCCAAAATCAGGACACGAACTAGAAACAGCTTCTTCCTTTATGAATTTATATTGATAGGAGTCTTAGCTGTAGATCAGTGTTGCCAAACAAGGTTCAAATCAGAACGGAGTGCATAGCTGAGCGCCAAAGAAAAGAAAGCATGGAGAAAAAATTCCACCCTTTAGGTGGACATTGCAGCATCTTCACTGTTTTAAAGATACATGTCTTTTCATAGTGATCTCAGAGATTATTTGAAAACAGAGTATGTTCCTTGAACCAAGTCTTTCTGGCAGCCCAATATTGTTGTTATCTTTGTTGTCAGGTTAAGTGATGTTGGAAATACATTTTGGTGGGGAAGAGTGGAAACTCTTTTGTGGGGAAGGAAGAGCAACAACATGCCATATGATATTAGGAGGAGGAAGAGTAGTACCATTGTCAGTAATCCCAGGAGGAAAGGGAAAAGACAGTTTATCACTGGCAGGAGGCCTTTGAAGATTTTGGAAAGCTCCTCTCAAGCTACCTCTGGATTTGGTAGTACGCAATTCTTATCATGATTCCCAGCCAAAGCCTGAAGAATGGTCAGCCTTATCTTCATTCTTGTGGTAAGCCACATGATTAAATCATATTTTTATTGATTTAACACTAATTAGAACTTTAATGCTTTTTTTTTTTAATTTGATTTATATGTCGCCCTTCTCCGAAGACTCAGGGCGGCTTACAATGTGCTCAGCAACATTGTTGTGGTATTAATCACCATAATATTGGTAATATAATAATATGATAATATAATAACAATAATACTTAACATTATCTTCTTTATCAACTCTCCACATTAACATTCCTTCTTTTTATATCTTCTCCTTTCTAACTTCTGTTTCTGTTGTCTAGCCATTGATAAAATATGTCCCATATTAAGAAATATTCAGTTTCTTCTTTATCCTTAATAGTAAGATTAGTTTATCCATACATGTGTTATGATTGTTTAAAAATAACTGTACCCAGACAACACACTTTGATGAAAATTGAATGTTATATAAATAAAACAAATAAAACATAAAAAGGAAAAAAAAAGAATTTTAATGCTGATCTGCCTCCAGTTTGGAGAATGTATAGATTTCTATGTAGAGCTGCACCAGCAGCATTTTGTGTAAAAAAGATTTCACCTGGGGACATAGGTAAGCTGAAGGAGGAACGTCTAAGTCTCTCAGAAGAAGATCAATTTGACAGATATCAGAAAAAGCACGAGAAGAGGGGTATTGTGTCCTACACTATTACTTTCACGTGGGCACTCGGAAAATTTTATGTGGGGTATGTGCAGCTGGATCCAATCAGCATAATGTGCTACTGAAGTGTAGACACCAGGCACATCGGCTATGCCGCAGCCTAACCCCCAGCTCACAATTCCTGTCAACAGCCAATTTTCACTTCCATCACATTGGCAAACCATAGGTCCTCCAGAATCACCCTGGAAAGAAAAAGATGTATATTATCACATGTTAATAGGAAGGCTGCTTCATTCCGATATTGACAAATTGAAATGCAAATTTCCTTGCAGCAAAGTATTTATTTCTTTAACTAAACGCCTCAACTTTAGCCTGGGAATCTTCAGTAAATTGCCTGTTCACCAAACATACTTATCACAGTTTTGGGGTTAATGCAATATATTGATTGATAATTCAGTAAAATGGGTCTGGATTCGCACACTAAGTCCTGCACTAAGTCCTCAAAACCTAACCATATTTAACACTGTTAATAAACAGCAGGTTGTTAACTGACCTGCAAAACATAAGCATAGCCATGCAAGATAATAATACTTCTTCTGCTATGTCATGAGACCAATCAATGGTATCAAAAAAAATCTTTTCCTAGAATCACCTGGCTATCCTCGGTCCTCTGAAATTCATATCCAAAATGAAATCTACACACAGTTATATTGAGAGCCATATGAATTTATTACTATTCCTTAAATCCTCTTCAGAACTAGTCAAAAGAAGCAGATATGGGACATCCTTCCAACTGTTTTGGACTTTTAAATCTGGTTAGGGATTTATAGGAATATGAATTCATAAGAATTCATGTCCAAAATGTTTGGAGAACAACAAGTTGAGCCAGTAATGCATTTTAATGAGAAATGAGCCACAGTGGCACAGGAGTTAGAGTGCAGTATTGCAGGCTACTTCAGCTGACTGCCGGCTACCTGCAATTTGGCAGTTCAAATCTAACCAAGCTCAAGGTTGACACAGCCTTCCATCCTTCCAAGGTGGGTAAAATGAAGACCCAGATTGTTGGGGGTGATATTTTGACTCAGTAAACTGCTTAGAGAGGGCTGTGGAGTGGAGCATTGTATAGTGATATATAAGTCTAAGTGCTATTTCTATTGTTATTTTAAAGATTTGATCTCTTAGTACATGGCTAAGCAATTTTGATCTTATGCAGGGCAGTTGGATATGTTATTTTGCCCCATGTTCTTGATATTACTGGAGATGGCAGATCAGAAATGTTTGGCCTAATTTTTAAATACTTTTTCAAGTTTTGTGTAGCAGTTTCATTAAGTTTCTGAGAGGCTTAGCTCCTCTGTTTTTTGTCTTAGTCAGCAAAATTAAGCAGCAATCACTTCACTGATTGAAAATCCCCATGAAGCTTTCCATCCAATTTCAAGAGCTGAATCTTGAAGAGCTTTTCTGGACACTATGTAAGGCCTCTTGCTGATGATTACCCAGACCTATCTTGAGAGTTTGAAGAGCACTGCATACTTCCCTGAATGAAGGAAGCTCTGGGAGAACTCTGCATCCTTTATGAGCAGGTTCATAAATTTTCCATATCAACATTGACAGGGTTGGTACAACAAACTTAAATTGATTGATTGATTGATTGATTAGTTAATTAATTAATTAATTCATTCTCATTGCTCCACACAAGGAACCATAAACTAACATTAAGAGTTAATATCCTATACCTCATCAGGCCCTTAGCAACCCCACTACCCAACCAAGGTTAATACAGTTTAATTCATTACACAAATTCAATCCCTACAATTTTAACTGTCTTATGTCATAGAAACATAGCTACATTTTTGAGCACCATACCTGACAGGAATCTTTACCCCCTTTTAAGCTACCCGCACAGATCATACCAGCCCTGATAGGGGAATGGGGCAATATTGTAACATTGAGCATGTTGTATAAAGAGTTGCATAAATCTGTATTGATGATAGACACTTCAACTTCTTGAAGGGTTTGGGGAGGTTTCAGGTCCACTGCAAAAAAGGAAGGTTTTGCATTATAAAATGCAGAGAACAAGTAACTGAGTTTATATTCACTGTAAATTTAGTGCCAAATCTTCAACATTCCTCAACTTCATTTTAAAGAACAAATTTAATTTTTCTTGTTGCGATTTGCCAGAAGACACATTTGCTAACCAGATTGATGATTTTAGGGAAGTAAATATTAGTGTTGTGGCAGACCTGCCCCAGTCCGATCCCTTAGGAAAGACAGATCCTTGATTCCAATTGGTTGAAGTGATAAGTTCTTTTATTAAAAGATGCTGGTTGCAGTAAAATAAGGCTAGGACTAATTTTCCTTCATTCAAAAGATACAGAAAGTTTCCTGACTTCCCAGCTCTCCCCGCAATCCATCTTCATCCACCTGGGTTGTTTTGAGAACACTGAGATGTTTAGGGTAATTCACATTCTTTCTCAGGGTGAATGGCCTTGAGTGCTGGGAAAAACTGGTTCTGAGCTCTCTTGCTCTTTGATAAGCTGTCAAATGGGTTGATTGCCCATTTGTTCCCCTCCCAAGTTCTGCTCCTCCCTCCTATCCTTTGATGGCAGGATGCCAGCAAGGTGCCAAACTGAAGATGGCAGATCTAACAGGGTTGTTTCCCATAAATTTTTACTGCTCTTCTCTCCCAAAACAGAACAGAACAGGACAGGAAAGAAACATACTTATGTCATATAGGCACAGTAGTTGTCTGTCGAAAGTAAATTATAATGGGACAAGGAAGACTAAAACTTTTCAACCACTATGTTCTACACATAATTACATATACAAGATGTGAGATCACAGCTGCCAGTTCTTAGCTGATGTACTAGAATTTTGACTAATAGATGAGTAAGATGTAGTCTTGTGATTATATCTGCTCTCCAAGCTGTCTGGTTGATGAAACCAACATAAACTATTTTGAGCTGGAGAACATATGAAATATAAAGGATAGTCCCTAAAATAGGCATGTTGCTTTAAAAAAAAGGAAAATCTTGACACTTGTCCTTCAAATCAGCCTAACCACTATATAGTTTAATCTGTTTTTTGGCCCTCCATCCCACTCCATCCCTCATATTATGTGTAGATCTTTAGGATGAAAAGAATGACAATTCAGAACCCAAAGGCATTACATCTTTACTTGCTCCCTATTGTTTTGCAGCTAATCAGGTCTCTGTGAAGAAGCCTGAATTAATTAAAATTGAAGATTTGAAATTTGGTGTGATCCAGTTCAAATTTACAAATTAAAGATCAGGAGCAAACTGATTCAGTTTGGACCTCTGGAAAGATTAAAAAACACTCGGAAATAACCTAATTTGCTTTGCTGCTTCCAATCAGGTCCCAGATGTCTTTTGCAATTTTGCTTTGATGGGATGACTCAACTGATCTTTCTGGAATCAAAAACCCCTTCAGATATTTTAGTGCCATTTTCTGCCATTGGAAAAAAGGACTCTATTTGATGTCTGGGACTGACTCAGATTAAGCTTTGCTGGTGCTGTTATGGATTTTAGTGGCAATAGGTTCCACTAGTTACTGTTACTATCCTGAGCTTGCTGCTAATTTTTAAACCTTAAAAAGAACCTTAAGAAAAAGAAGAATCCTACTACTTTTAAGTAAGCCAAAATGATTTTTAATCATTCTGCTCTGCTTTGCCTTCTTCATCCTTGTCCCTAACTCGATCTCATCCCAATTTAAATCCTACATCATATTCAGATACTTCATGCTTCTAATGAAAGTTTATGCCATTTAATAACATTTACTACCCTGTTTCCCAGAAAATAAGACCTCCCTGGATAATAAGCCCAATTGGGCTTTTGAACGCATGCACTAAAATAAGGCCCCCTGAAAATAAATCCTCCCTGAAAATATTTAAACGCATGTGCAGCTGGTCCCTGCCATTTCCTCTGGTTAGGGTTCTTTACTGTGTAACTTTATGCAGAGTTTTATGCAAAACTCTAGTTTGGCCTCAGTGTCAATGCAGAATAATGGTCTCGTCTCCTCAAGTTTGTATCTGGAGCATCTTCCTGGATTAAACTGTGTCCCGTTAGTCCTTTATGTAACTTCAAGTTACAGTAGTGGCCAAAATTGTGGAAACCTGGGAAAAGTGAATTTTCTAAAAATAGCTAATAACACCACTTTTTTCTGGGAGCAGTACCATAAAATTATATATCAATGGAAAGATAATTTAATTAAGAATGTAATGCAATTACTTTTATGAAGGATTTGCTATTAGAATAGCAGTTACAGTTTAAAGAAGAAAAGTGAAACACACAGAAAAAAATGAGATATACAAAAATTATCACCACAGAAAAAAACGTGATATAAAGAAATTATCACCAGGTCAGTTAATACTTAGTTGGATAACCTTTAGCATGTATTATGACCTTACAATGTCTTTCCATGGAGTGAACCAAGTCTTTTAGTTCTGTCGCTGTTATAATGTGAAACCAAGATTGAATGATAGCTTCTATTAATTGGGTTTTATTGGTGGGTCGCTTCTGACTAACAGGTTTCTTTAGTGGGCTTCATAGATTTTCAATTGGGTTAAGGTCTGGGCTATTCCCAGGCCATTCCAGCAGTGATAGAGTTTCAAGATAATATGATTATCTTGAAACTCCCCCCCCTCTGCAAAAATGGCATTATTAGCCATCAAGCATCAAAAATACACTTTCCCCAAAAGGTTTCCAAAATTTTGACCACTATTGTACTTTGGTGCAATAAGCAAATAAACAAATTTTTAAACATACCAAATTTCATACCTTAAAGATGTGAAAGGATGAAAAGGTGTCAGATCAAACATACATCCCATTTTCCTCACTCACCCTTAGATGCTGTTCTTCCCCATCCAGTGACCCAGCAGCTGGAATTGTCAGGGAACTTCACAGAAGACTCTGGGAGACACATAGGCATGATGTATTTGGTGAACTCCACAGTGTCGTTTAGCTCCAACAAAGCGATGTCATACATAGTGTCATTAGCTGTGTATTGAGGATGAATAATAATTTGTTGGATGGCAAATTTCTCTGAGGTATTTGAAGGGTTCATGAGTTGGTGGTCGCCTAACCCCACAAAAATTTTGTTAAAGCCTTCAGGGAGCCTGTAAATGTTAACAATTAAAAAAAAATGTCAACAGCAATTGACGGATGCGGACCTATTGAGAGTACTGCAGGATTTTGACATTTGTTGAAAAAATTCCTGAAATTTACATTTCCAGAGGCACTGGATTTTGTCTGAATTTAATTTCAGCATGCTTCCTCATATCCAGCTTTGCCATATTTAAAGATGCCAACAGCAATATTTATTCATTTGTATACTATTTCCATCAGTGCTGGCTCAGGATTATATGGTGTCCCTAGGCCACATTGACTGATGGATTCATTTCTTGCCAATGTGAAGATTTGCATTTTTAGAATGATTTGGAACTATTGACATTGGCACCCACAAGCCAGTGCCTATTTGGCTTTAATCAAAATCCAGCTCTGATTTCCACATCAGTATTCACATTGAGTGATATGCAAATGGGAAAGTACCTTCCATTGAAACTCTGCAGAGGAAAGCAATCTTTTATTAATATGTAACTAAAGCAGGATCTGAATTTTGGTCAAAAAGAAAAAGCATTGTTGTGTCCTTTTTGTGTTGAGGTAGTCCTCGACTTACAGTATGAATAGTTTCTTTAGTGACCTTTCAAAGTTACAATGGTACAAAAAAAAGTGACTTAGGACCATTTTTCACATTTATGACTGTTGCAGCATCCCTATGGTAATGTGATTTACATTTGGATGCTTGACTATTGACTCACATTTATGACAGTTGCAGTGCCCTGGGGTCATGTGATCCCCTTTAACAACTTTCTGACAAGCAAAGTCAATGGGGAAGCCAGATTCACTTAACAATCATGTTACTAACTTAACCACTGCACTGATTCACTTAACAAATGTGGCAAGAAAACTCCTAATATGGGGCAAAACTCACTTAACAAATTTCTCACTTAGCAACATAATTTTTTGGCTCTATTGTGGTCATTTATATGGACTACTTTATAATAGGACTACTTATATGTATCCTTATTTGTGATGTGAGCACAAAAAAATTGGCAGTAGAATGACCCTGATGCAATGCCATTTTCTTCATTTGACTCCTCTGTGACTATTTCTGAAAGACAAAAAAGACTGTATAGTGGATGTGGTAGTTTCTGAAGGCAGCAGAAGAGAAGAGAAAGAACTGGAAATCCCTAAATCCGAAGACCTGTGAATAGAAACAGAACGACTGGCAAAAGAAAGCAAAGGTAGTATCAATACTAACAGCCACCTTGTGTGCAATCTCAAAGCATCTGGAGGGTTAATTGAATACCACTGGCATTGACAAAATCACCATTAGTCAATTGCAAAAAGGCAGCTTTACTTCTTCTACATCTTGCAACAATACCTTTAACACCATCAAACAACATCTGCCTATTCCAGATGTTCCCTAGTCCTTGGGAAAGACTTGATAGGTGGATAAAATGCCAAATCAAGTCTAAATATCTGGCTATGTAACAAGCCATAATAATGCTTTTTTCCTGGAAACTCTAGTTTATTAAAAAGAACATAATAATAGTCAGCTATCTATTTTTGTCACTTAATTTTACAGTCCAGGAACTTACCAGATGAAGCAATGAGCAGCCGTCAGCACCCACTTCTTGTCTATGAGAGTGCCACCACAAAAAGTTATGTTGAATACTGAAAGGCCCGCTTGCCATGGCCATGACCCTTCAGAAGCTGGTTGGCCTCCAACAATTCTTGTAGAGATTAGTGGCTTCTTACAACCTGCCAAGAAAGAGCAGAATAGAAGAAATGAGTGAGAAAAAGAATGAGAGGGAGGAGGAGTTTGGTGTAATGGTTAAGGCACCAGGCTAGAAACTGGGAGACTATGAGTTCTAGTTGTATCTTAGACATGAAGCTACTGGATCACCTTGGCCAGTCATTGTCTTTCAACCACTTTCAAAATATTGCCTGAACATTACAGGGACTAATTCAGACAGTCATTTGGAGTCAATCCTTACTTGAAAAGGAACAACAATGAATTTTAAAAAATATTTTGGATTATAATAAGAACAAAAGGGACTTTCCCCCATACCTCTGAAGCTCAACAATGGAAACCCTGCAAGAAACAAACTCTCCCTTTTGGAATGAATTTGTATATGATTTTCAGATATTTAATAAACTATAAATTGGAAGAGGAAACGGTCAAAGAAAATATGATAATATGGGCAAAAAATATAGGCCAAAACATAGAATTGGAAAAATGGGACAAATTATGGACAGAAAATCTCAAACTGACAATGTCGATACCATATAAAGAAAACCTCTACAAGATGTTTTACAGATGGCACCTCCCACCGGCACGCCTGGCGAAAATGTTTCCAAATGTGTCACCAATGTGTTGGAAATGCAAGTCGCAAAAGGGGTCATATTACCATCTCTGGTGGTCTTGTAGAAGAGCACATTACTGGCAAGAAATCAAGTTAATGATTGAAGAAATAACAAAGCAGAAGAAAAATTGGAAATCAGAACTATTACCAACAGAAGAAAAAATAATTGCAAAAATAACAGAATGTGCAGAAATGGACAGACTCACAAAAGAGCTACAAGAGAAAGAGGACACTGATTATTATGCAGTCTGGCAAAAATGGTATTCCTGGCTAGAGGGAAAGATAGGATTGATAAAATAATACTTATACAAAACATAACCAAGAAACACAGACAATCACATAGGAGGTAGACTACATGACTGTATGTATAAATAGTTAGAATGGTTATTAGAAGGATGTATAGAAGTAATAGATACTTATATAGAGAGAAAAGTTTAAAAATAGAGTTATGTCTTGGATATGTAAAAAAGTAAAAATAAGTAAGCACATAAAATAGATCTCTAAAAGAGAAATAGAGGTGAAATAGAAAATAATCACTGATGCAACAGTTTTCTAGAAGTCAGCCGATAGGCTGAAACAATGTTAGTTGTTATTTAGTTTGTTTCTCTTTTTTGTATTGTCTTTATGTATACATGTTTGTAAGTATTTTTGTCTTATGTTTTTGTTTAATAATTTTTTAAAAAAAAAAAAGAATTTGTATATGATTTTCAGAAGAAAGTTTCCAATGATTTTGTGTCTCCTGAGAAACAAGTTAATATTTAACATGCATATCTATTTAACTTGTCAACTCAGTATGAGATCCACTCCTGTATTTAGATCAGCAATAGGCTTCATTCATATGTTGATTTTGATCCTGTTCCAAGGAAAAGCCTGGTTTCTTTTTTAACATGGAAGAGCATAACTCAAGCATGGTCAAATAATGAATTACTTGGCAAGGAACAAAGCATTATAAGATAACCTTTGTTGCCATTTTTTCTATGTACATATTAAAAATGAAATTCTGATGCCCCCTGTCATGCCCCCCCCCACGTATACCCACCCACACACACTGTCCTGGATAGCACTTATATGCCATGGCCTGGATAGAAGGTATGGAACTTCCAATAATCTTTTCTGCTATCCTTACCACTCTCTTCACCACCTTCTTGTCCAAAACGGTAATACTTCCAAATCAAATACTAATATAATATGAGTGGATGCTTTCAAGAGTCCCTCTGTAGAAAGTGATAAGGACAGGGGAAGGAAGATGTGCTCTTCTCATATGATGTAGAAAATGTAGATGCTACCATACCTGCTTCACAGTGTCTTGTTGAGCCACCAAGCTAGCCTAGTCGTTATTTCATATTATATGTTATTTTTTTAACATTTCTTCGTCTAACTTGTTAACAATAAGAAAGTGATAAAATGCAACTGGAGTTACAGCAATGGTTCTGAATATTATATTGTGCTGGAAACAACAAAACAACATATCTAAGATTTTCTAAAATGCAAATGGGTTTCCTTTTCACCATTCAGTGCCAATTTGTGCAGAAAGTTTCTAGGGAACATAGAAATTCCTACCTACTTCTGGGTCAGCAGCACCTGTTGGAAAAAGAAAAGACAAGTAACTTTAATTTTCCAAATAAGATTTAAACCCCCCCCACCCCCGGGGATTTAAAAAAAGGGTGAAATGTCATAAGAGATTCTGGTTACAGTCAGTTCTGAGGTATTGTAAAACTGATACACCTGACAAGTTATTGCAGATTGCCAGTAGGTCAGAGGTGGAGTCCAGGATCCCTATCACCTCAAGAAAGATGGCTGGTTAATGAGGAAAAATTGACTAAAACACACTCTAGTGCTACCTAGTTTATACTGTCCATTTCAGTATCTTTTCTTCTAACTTTAAGAAGCATTTCAAAACCAGGTAAAGAGCTAAAGTATTCCTCAAATTATAACTACAATTGGGACCAGAATTTCTGTGGCTAAACAAGGGGGTTATTAAGTGAACCATGTCTGATTTTACAACCTTTCTTGTCATGATTATTAAGTGAATCAGTGTAGATGTTAAGTGGATAACATGGTCATTAAGTGAATCCAACTCCCCCACTGACTTTGGTTGTCAGAATCTCTCTGGGAAGATCACAAATGGTGATCACATGACCCCAGTTAGTAGAGACTCTGGATGGTTTGCCTTTATAGCGTTTCACATTTTGTTAGATGGCAAAATATGGATTTCCACATGTTGGAAAATTACTGTGAATAATTTCCAGTTCAGTTTGCACCCAGCACACTCTCACTTGCTCCCTACCTCCTTATACTAGGAAACACACCAGGATCATTAAAATATTTAAGAATTAAAAGTATGTTAAAAGAGCAGAAGTGTCTGAGGTTGGGGGATCAAATAGTCAAGATTACAGGTATGGAAATATAATCAAAGACCCATTCTTCTTCTTCTTCTTTTTTACACACATCAAGGTATGGCTTCATTGTACAGTTGCAGTTAGCAACTTGACCTTGTGATTTTCCTTTGTGCATTTATACCACATCATGTATTTATTACTTAGCTCACATCCATCTTTATTTCCTTTAAAAGCTGTGGGGGAATTAAAAGGGGGGGGATTTACACATCTTTAAATATGGCCTCCCCTAAATAAATACCTTTCTCACCTTGCAATCTAGTCAGATGAAGAAACCAGACAATGAGTACAATAGGTGAAAAAGTCATAGTTGTCTTCTGCTGTAAACTGAAAGGCCTCCAAAGTAGTTCAGTTTCAGTCAATTTGGGACAATAGTTACGCTGTTTCAATCTCAATCTTTTGGTATTGGTTTAGTAAACTGTAATACAGAGAATAAAGGCATTAAAATCTAGAAATGTCAGTTCTTTACAGTTTCTAGATCAAGGCAGGTACTCTAAGAGTCTTTAAGGTGACCAGACGTCCCGCTTTTGGCGGGACAGTCCCGATTTTTAGCAATTTGTCCCGTGTCCCACGGCGTTTCAAAAAAGTCCTGATTTTTCATTCTGCCTCCTGAGTCCCGCTGCCTCTTGAGCCCCAACTGATGGCTAGAAGAAAAAAAAACTGTTTAAACTCTTGCCCGGGGCTTCAAAGGGCCGCCCTACAGGCAATCAGTGTAAAGAGTTCCTGAAGCAGTTTTTTTTCCCCCTAACTAAGCTGCAGAAACGAAACCGAAACCAGGATCTTTGGTGCAAACATGACAAAATGAGGCAGAGAGAGATTTATTTTTATTTTTATTTTTCCTCCCCAAAAAAGGTAGGTGAAAAACTGCAAACAATGGGAAATTTAGGAGGAGAGTTCAAGATTTTAAAACACAAAAGAAAAAAAAGCTGTATTTAACTAGGGAATTGTAATAATTGAGATACTATTAATTGTATATTGTGTTGAAAGCAGAAATGGTTAAGTTGTGGTTCAGAGGAATATATGGGGGAAATTATTTGGTTTACTATTATTGGTAAATATAATTAATTGATTTGTAAGAAATTGGATTGCATGGAAATAATTGGAATATTCATGTTCATATTGATTAATATACAAAAAAGATAGTTTTATAACTAATTGATTTATATTAAAATGTTGAATTTGTATTAAACAACTGTATTACATAATTACATAATTAACCAATGTGAGGATGGATATAAAAATAGATGACAATGGGAAGGGGTATAATATAGAATAGAAGGGAAAAATTGAATTTGATTAAGATTAGAGATGAGGATGAAGGGTAATATTGGTTTTTTTTAAAAAAATAGATGAGGAATAAATATGGCAAAAAGGAAATATAGAAATTGTAAATTTAATTGAAGTGACTAAACACTGTTTAAATTTGTGAACCGGCCAAATACTCTGTTCAAAGAAAATAAATTGTATGTTTGTATGTGTGTTTCTAATTACTGCTATTTATTCATATTTGTTCTCTTTTATTCTCTAAAGTTTAACCATTCATTCTTTATCTTAATATCTTTATATTTGTTTGGGGTTGGCTTTCTTCCCTTTCATCTTTTTTATTGTACAGCAATCTTTCTCCTCAAACCTACCACCTCTCTCTTTTCTTTCCTTCTTACTTTCTCTTCCCCCCACCCTCTTCTTCTCCTCCCTACTTCCTCTTCCTTTCTCCTTCTCCTCCTCTCTTCCTCCCCCTCTTACCCTCACTCCTACTCTAATTTCCCTTCCCTTCCTTCATCCCTCTCTATTGCTGTATCCTTTTATGCATATGGACTACTCAGAGGGCTGAAAAAGTTATTTTTGACTGGTCCTTGCACTTTTGACCAGTCCTCGAACGACTGTCTTCACATTTTACGTTTTTTGCCCTATCTTATCACCATGGTGAAGAGAAGCAGTTGTGAAATGAGTGACATGGTTGTTAAGGATGCTGCATGGGCATAAATGTGAGGATGGTCATAAGTGTGAGGACCAGTCAAAAGTGCGAGGACCTGTCAGAAATGACTTTTTTCAGCCCTCTGGTTAGTCCTTTTGTGCATATGGACTACTCAGAGGGCTGAAAAAGTTATTTTTGATTGGTCCTCGCACTTTTGTCCAGTCCTCAAACTTACAACTGTCCTCACATTTTACATTTTTTGCCCAGTCTTATCACCATGGTGAAGAGAAGCAGTTGTGAAATGAGTGACATGGTTGTTAAGAATGCTGCATGGGCATAAATGTGAGGATGGTCATAAGTGTGAGGACCATCAAAAGTGCGAGGACCTGTCAGAAATGACTTTTTTCAGCCCTCTGAGTAGTCCCTATACACATAGCCATGGCCACCCGGTCACATGACCAGGTAGCCACGGCCATCCAGTCACATGACCAGCTAGCCACGCCCACAAAATAAGCCACGCCCACAACGGTGTCCCTCTTTACCAATCTTAAAATCTGGTCACCTTATCTAAGAGACAATATGTTGATATCTGCATGGCATCAGTGGGTACAATATAACCAAAATGAGTAGAGTCTGTCACATATGAAAGATTAAGTCCACATATGAAAGTTCAATTAAATTGATTTATTGTTAAAAGCCTATTCACAGAAATATTTTCAAGTAATGTCCAGTGCCTGATTAGAGTTAGATAAGGGACAATAGCACACATGTGGGGTGGGGTGGGGTGGACTTTGTTTGTGGCTATGTAGGGGTTCTAGGCTGATACCTCTTTTCACTCCTCCTCCAGACTCTGCCATTCCTTCTCCTACATAATCAGAACAAATTATGGTGAAGTTTGCAAAATGGCTTGTAACCTACATGGACCTATGCTGCAGACCATCCAAATTTAAATCCTGAATCTTTTTTAGAATCCTGGAGCTATCTTTTCAATCACATGAGTGCTAGTCTCTTACTTACAATTTGGATAACAATGGAAGAAACACAATAGTAAAAAAGGGCAATAATCTTGGAGATTTATTTTTTTTTAGATTTATATCTATAGAGAACATATTTTCTTGGAAGAAAGAAAGGACAATCTGAAAAATGGTCTAATCTGAAGAGGTCCATGAGGATTAAATAAATTTACCATTTTTAACTATTGGTTCCACATTCTACCTTCTGGAGCAATAGCAAACTTTGTTCCACTTGGTTGTATGTGATAACTTTTCAGTTATTTGATGACCACTTTCATGGATCCCATTCCTTTTTGATCTTTCGAGTATAAACATATCCAGATCTTGTAACTTTTCTCATCAACCTTTGGTGGCTCGGATATGGCATACTGTATATTGTCTAATTACTGTAACTTGTTAACTAAATATATAACTCAATTACTGAATTAACTCTTTTCAGGATTTTCACAACACATTGGTTGTACATCGGCAAGATTAGTAGAAAAATCTGTGGTCAAAAATTAACCAATCATTTCTTTTGGAAGAGGGGTTATATTTTCAGCTGATGACCTCTTTCTTTTGTAACCTACCTCAGTTTTCCTACAATTTCTTCTTCCTTTTTTGAATCAGAAATACATCCTCATACACAAAGATAGAATAGTGGTAAAATATAGTCCTCTTTCTGGAATAAGTTTTTTACTCCTTTGTTTAAATATTCCCTCTTGAACTGATGTTACTGGGAAGGATTAGATTCACATGCTGAAGCTACTTCTAAAAGAAGAAAATCAAGGGTCTCCCATCTAATGACTATTTTGCTTTTTTGGACCTCTCACTATTCTTTAACAATGTCACTCTCCAAATACATCAATGCCCCTGCTTACCTGCTTCTTTCAGGATCTAGTGGAAATGAAGATATTGCCAGTGATTTGCTCTGGGTTATAAATACCCAGAATCACCAGTACATACCGAAACTTATGGTAGCGTTACATGTTACTCATCCTAAAAAACACTACCCTCCTTTTTGAACAATGAGATAACATATTTTGATACTGTTCAACTGGCTCAACATTGGAGATGTATTCTTCACAGCTGAATTAATGTGCTTTCCACCATTTCTTGACTTGACAGAAAAATATGCAGGCATAAACTGTGCTGCCCTGATGGCCGAAACCTATTCTGCCTTTCAATTGTGACAAATTAAGGAAAATCCTGTGTAAAACAATGTGATAGCTAAATATCATTTTGAGAAGAAGAAAGTCATAGCTACTGCCACATTTTTTTCCCTTCACACTAACTTCACACTTTAGTATTTGGTGACATTGTATTTGTAGAACTCTGACCAGGAAGAATCATAAAATAAGGAATTATTAAAATTATAGCTTCCTCCCTTGATTCTGAGGTACACAACACTTTGTAAAGGGAAATAAGGTTAATATAGGTAATAGACATGAGAAATTATATGGATAAAAAAGGAAGATGGTGTTTTAGTTTGTTCATGAATGTTTTTTAAATATTTAAATAAATATTAAATATAAATAAATGTTAGATTAGGATTAGGAAGAATATAAAAGAACTCTTGTTGAAGCCAATCTAGCTCTCTGAAATGGACAACCCTTGCTTATGGTTCAGATGGCTCAAATAGATGTTTCTTTCCTGCTCAACATTCAGAAAATCCTATTAAATAAATAATGTGGAGGCTTTGACATGAAATATGTTATTTACTCATGTGACTTCTTTGCCATGCTAAATTAACAATAGAATCTTTGGATATTGTTTTTGTCTGTAAAAGAAAAATATACTTTTCCCCCTCAGAGACTGATTTAAAGAAAAATGCTATGTATTTAAAATTCCAGAGTGTCATGTTCTCAGGGAAGATAATATGCTTTAATATTGCCAAAGTAAATAATTGCCAAAGTAAAACAAAGCAGAATTTTTAATACAGAGGGATCACTTATAGGACCTGGTTACTCTAGGCTGGAAAGTAAGGAAGAAATGAATTTTGGAAGAAGGCAGTGACAAACAATTTCTCCATAGTTGCCAAGAAAAGTACACTCAGATCTTTCCATAAAATCACAAAGATTTTACACTCAATTTAAAGGAGACTTTATTTTGTTCACATTAACTGAATTTAAAACAGAAAATAGTGAACTGGTATAAATTCAATTCACACTTTACTATTTGAAGGAATGAATTCTCTGATATGTATCTACTGTGACCTCCTCCAGATCTTCCCAACCCAAAGGGAGATAAAGTAGGTCTCTACTAAAGAAATAACTTTTTTTTATGGTTGTACTTTAATTATGGAATTTCCAGAGAGGATCAACAAACCCATTGTAGTATCATTTTTAATCAACAAAGACCTTTTTATTTTCTCAAGTTTTGTAGAGACGCGGGAACAGATTGCATGGTATTTGGTGGGAACCAGACCCAGGATCCTGGAAGGACAAGTTTAGTAAGGTTATAATATTATAGTAGGCTTTGTATGAGTCCCTTGGGAAGAAAGAGGGGTTGTTATAAAGGTGAAATGAAGATCTAGTTCTCTCAAGAAGACTCCAATGATGAGAAAAATAGACAGAAAGAGAAGAAGAGAATAACTAGTAGCAAAATTATGCATTTAGTTACAATGGTAATGGGTGTACTGTTGATAGGCTTCAAAGATCAGATTAGGGATAGATTATTATGGAGAAAATCTTTGTATATGGTTGCTAAGAATTGACAATGCCTTGGTGGCACATAATCAACAAGATCTAGGATTCCTAA